GGAAGAAATTGTTCAGCAAGAAGTTTTATACCGGGATAATACTCAATTTACATTCCAATCACAACTAAAGGCTAAAGATAGGTCTAATAAGAAGCATGATCATCAGAAACCTACGTTTAACAGATATGCAATTCTGGGAGGAAGGATTAGACAAGTTGACTAGGATATCCCTCGTCAACGGATACCCAGGCGAAGTAATACAAAGAAATACACGGGCCGTGAAAACCTGGTGGGAGAACTGGGACTACGAAAGAATAGCAAGGACGGAGAAGGATTTATAAAAGTGGATATGCCTACCTTCTTGCGAACCAATTCAAAAACTACTGCCAATATTGAGGAAATAGAATATTCGGGTGGCCATGAAATAAAAACCCACACTTTTCACAAGTCTACCTACGCAACATGAAAGGGTAGACAAGTTGGATTGAACAGGAGTTTACTATATATTATGCGGCGCCTGCGAACAGAAATATATTGGCGATAAAAGGAGAAAAATTAGCATACGAATCAAGTGAACATCAAAGGCTCTGCATGAAAATGGATACCGAAAGATCAGAATTGGCGGATCACATCGTACAGACTGGATACGAGATCAATTGGAAGCCAACAGAAAGAAGGGCTTCATACGGTCAAAACACAAGGAAGCAGAAGATTAGGGAGGTCATTGACATCTTTGAGCAGAAAAATTTAATGAACAGGACATTGGAGGAAGGTAAAGTTAGTGATAACTATGCCTACTGCTTAAGCAGACTCGGGTAAAACTAGAATAGAGCAAGACCAGCAAAAAGGAGACGTCTGGATCAAAGAACTATCGTTAACCGGAGGAAAAGAGATCACGATGAGGAAAGTGGGAGCGAGGGGTTTCGGCAATCAAGCGAAGACGTTGTCAGTGAGTGATGTCTGTTTCGAATAAACCAGTATAACCTTGGAGGCCTGGTAGTCAGGACGCTAAGCGGACGGATAGTCAAACTATCGCAGAAATTCGACGCTATGACCAAAATGTACTGGAAATCCACTTGCGATTCGGCATGCGACCAGAGACAGAGACCAGAGACCAGAGACTGGTTTAATCAAGGAGATGATCCGTGAAGGCAATGCCTGATATCTGTAAGCATGGGAATCAGAGCCTATGTGCTCTGCTCGGTAAGGCGGCAGTGTATGTGTCTCGATGGCCTTGAGGAATAGCGCATGGAGGGAAACGCGCACTGGGACTGGAACCAAGTGAAATCGGTCGACAAGAAAGATAAGGAACAGGGCTACGGGACCATGAGAGGGATCCTGATTGGAGGCCCGAGTCGGATTAGCCAATCGGAAGAGAGGATCGGGGTGACTAGCAGGTGTGATGAGGCCACACTAGATTTGCCACAAAAGGTCACACATTTTGACTAGTGGAATGTAAACAAAGTTGTGATAAGGCGGGAGTTTGATAAGAGGGTAGAGTAGATATATAGGCCAGGATAGAAAGAGGAGTGATAGTGTAATCATTTTCGGAAGCACTTTGGTGGAAGGATTGATTTTACTTGTCTCTGACGAGTTCGTAGCCTGGTGCGAAGAATGACAGCACTCACTGATGATGCCGGCGAAACGTTTCAGAATTTACCAAGTCCACTGTCTGATGCTAGGAATTATGATAACCACTATGGCAGAGGACTTCAGACTAGGTGCATTCTACTAAGTCTCCAGGACAACAAGACCAAGTTGCGACGAGGTCAACCCACTTCCATAAATCAAAATAAGACTGCGACTATACCGGAGGCCACACAATCTTGGTCTTCATATCTTCGATGCCTGATTTATTGTTTATCTCGGCTTCTTATAAGAGCTGTATCGAACTTTAATTATTACTGCTAAGTGAATAAAGCTCTTTAGTTTAGAGAAAAACATTAGATTTTTGGAAAATTCGTCGTAATTATCTGACTATCGCTTTTGAATTACGTTTAGTTAATTTTATTACTCTTTTTTATTTATTGTGATATAAGGACAGAGGTCTGTCTACAATTTAATATAAAATTTGATGCCCCGGGACGCGGAGAGAAAGGAAAAGTCGTATCATCAAGTGTTCTACTCATAATCAGCAGAGTTACAGTGTAGTGTTAAGAATATGAAGTCAATTATTTAAGGCGGTGCATAATATAAGAGTCCAAAGTCCGCGGGTCAGCGGACCGGAGACAAAAGGAAAGAATGTGGCTGACCTAGGCAGTATATTTTCTGCTGAAAATACCCCTACGTAGTTTTGCATGTCACCTGCTAATTGGTACAAAAGATAGTCACGATGTGGTGCCAAGCTTTATTTGGTCAACGCGAAATAAAAAGTAAGGATAGGAGATATGGAAAGTGACTGGGTTTCGATGAGTCTTATGAGATATAAAATTGCAGAGAAACTTTCGTTTCGTATGAAAGTGCATGAAGAAGGGATTCAAAGGTCGATCTAACCAGAAAAGAACGGCTGATTCCGATTGTACAGCAGCGCAGTCCACGAGACATCCTCCCTCAGTTCGGATGAAAACTGGCTGGGCTTTCGTCCACCATATGATCGGCATCATCAGAGCTGAAAATCATTCTTGTAAAAGTCTCACGTTAACACTAGATCAAGAAGGCTATCCGGTTCTATCTTACCTCTTATATAGACTCAATTAAGCAACATAAAATTAATATGCATAGATAGAGATAGATTGGTGTGGCTAATTATCTTTCATATTGGTAGATAGCAACAACTTGACTAAAGTGTTGGAACGGCTGAAAGATTTATTCTTGGAAAATAATTATCCTTTGGGCTTAATTAAGAATAATATATCTTTATTTAGGATTGTGTGCTCTTGTAGTCGACCTTATATTGCTGAGACATGTCGACCTATTCGACAAGTATTAGGGGAACACAAAAATACTTGTAAAGGGAGCTGGGCTTAATGATCAGAAGTGGCTGAACACATGGATAGAATGGTCTCAAACTATTAGGCTTGCCGATAATAGTAGGTCTGCTGTTCCAAGGAGGGATCATTGAAATTAATAGATTAAGGCAGTGATTCCCAAACTGTGCGCCGCAGCCTCTTTACAGGGGCGCCACGAATTATTGTAAAAGCTTCATCCATCACATTAATTATTAAATATTATTTTTCGCATTTTAAGTATTGTTTCGAGACTACCAGTAAGTCAGTAATATGAGATGTATTTACCCAATTTCGTTTAATGTGATGAAGGATTGGTAGAAGAATTTTCCCACAATGATATGAGTTGAGCTGACGTTTCTATTGAATTTCACATAGCCATGCTTTCCCAAAAGTTGTTCTCATCCAGGGTCGACTGCAGTTTCGACCTCGCATAGGTATTATCAACACCCTCTGCCGGAGTCTCGAACCAATACTTCAAATGCGAAAAATAAAGTAACGTAGTCGGATGTTATAGCAAATATACGTTTGTTTCATCGACAATCCCACTAAAGAATATGATATGACAAAAGGCCTGGCCTTCCTTGAAATGCACATTTGCCCTGTGACCCAATGGCACTCGTGGCAATGTGGCCGAGTGGCTAGCGTGTCAAGTTCCCATTCTGCACTGTCACAGTTCGACTTCCGCTGGGGGTGTTGATAAGACCGATGCGAGGTCGAAACTGCAGTCCACCCTGGATAAGAACAACTTTTAGGAAAGCAAGTCTGCGAAATTTAATGGAAACGTCAGCTCTACTCATATGATTGTGGGAAAATTCTTCTACCAGTCCTTCATCACTTTAAACGAAATTGGGTGAATACATTTCATATTAAATTTTAATAAAATGAAAAAAAGAAGATACACGAGTTTTATTTATTTGCTTCTTTTACTTACGAATAGTCATACCTAGGGTACGGCGCCATGGAAGAATTTTAATTGAAAAAGAGAGCCGCGACTAGGAAAAGTTTGGGAATCACTGGATTAAGGAATACGTCGAATGTGAGCAATGGTGGTAGAAAGTTGAGTAAGAAATACTTAGGCTTGATTGATAGATTGAAGGAGAGGATGTTGAGTGGCTATCTAAAAGAAAGCGACTCAATTTGTCCGCTCAACGATGGTTCTAATTTCACTCACGCTCGTCAAACATGTTATATTAAGCTCATCAACCAAACCAGACGTATTAGATTATGCAGTCCCAGTCATGCTTTTCCTTGGGCAGTTAAGCCTTAGACTAGGAGGTCATGATAAGTGGTTTTGTAACCTATCTAACACGCTTAATAGCTTACATTTACTTTTCTCAACCATAGTTCCTTACGGACTTACGCAGTCTCGATCAGGGCTTTTTCTTGGGTCATTAAGCCTTGATGATCAGAGCCTGACAGTGTTTTTGATCACTTTGATTTAGGTCTTATGTTGAATTTAGAAGCTAACGCACACATACACACGAGAAAAAGTGGCAGGACCAATATGAAATATAATTAGCCACACCATTCTATATCTATCTATGCCTATTAATCTTATTTTATTTAACTGAGTTTATATAAGAGGTAAGATAAAGCCGGATAGCCTTCTTGATCTAGTGTTAACGTGAGACTTTTACAAGAATGATTTCCAGCTCTGATGATGTTCTTTATATGATGGACGAAAGCACAGCCGGTTTTCACCCGAACTGAGGGAGGATGTATCGTGGACTGCGCCAACCTGAACATCGTGTTAAAGCTAAACGGCTGCTGTACACTTTGAATCATCCGTCCTTTTCTGGTTAGATCGACCTTCGAATCTCTTCTTCATGTACTTTCATACTAAATGAAACCTGCTCCGACAAATACTGAAGATAAGTCATAATGCTCCTTGATCTATTTCTAAAGGTGTTGAACCATGGCTACATACGTGATGTAACAAAACTAAACATTGAATTGTAAAGTGTAAGGATAGGTTACTACACATTCATTGAAATGAGCAAACTCCTTATGATTTCATCCACACCATCCCTGTTTATTTCTATTTTTACTTTTACCTTACTACTTTATTGACTTTTGCTTTCATTATAATCCATGGCCAGACGGTTGCTTCATTCTTAAGAGCTTCCCGAGCATAAATATTCTCAATTTGCAACCTTAAGTTAGTTTTTGGGAGTCTAGTCACATTATTTATTTTAAAGTATGTCAACATTTTTTTAGGAGGTTTGCATTATCTACCTAGCGACAACCTTTAATGGAGACCAGCTTTCGTTTATCAATACATGCGGTCTCGTCATGTCTATTTTCGGAATCATTCTTCACATCACACTTCAAACAATGCGCTGTAAGGAATTCTTATTATATAAATTAATATGTTTTTTCCAATTAGCAATTTTTTACTTGAACAAATTATAATGGGCTATTAACTATGCTATATTCTTTTAAATAATTGCTAATACACAATGCATTCGACCCCCTTTGTCTCTCATGAATACAAGTACGTTTCTAGGACCCTTTAGACTTGTAAATAAACAACGGCACTTTAACATGTTAAATACTTTGCATTTAAGTTTGTTACTAATGTGATTTTTTGCATTGATTATATATACTTTCACATAACACTTTCTATATAGCTTAATTTATTTGTCGTATCCAGAGTCGGATTACTTTCCGTGGCATTATCCTAGACGTTTTCTTATCTTATCCAGATATTATTACCTGAATGCTAATATTTTCGTCTGTTGATCGTTTGACTAAGCTAGTAATCGAAGATCTGAAGACCAGAATGATGTGGCCTTTTGTGTGGTCGCTGTCTCTTTTCGTTGTATATAAGTTGTTTGACCTTTTTTCGCAACTTGGTCATATTGGCAGGAAGACTTAGAGGAACACACCTTGCCTAGAGTCTATAGTATGCTTGAGAATTTCTACAGTCGGACCGTAGACTTGATACATTTTCAGACGTTTTCCCGGCATCCTAATCGGCATCGTCAATGAGCTTTACCATACTTAGCACCACACTACAACTCGTCAAAGAAACAAGTGAAGTCGATCCTTTGCCGAAGGGTGTGCTAAACGGTTGTAGTATTTCTTCTGTCCTGGGCTATTCACCTATCCTATATCCTCGTATCACCCCTTCAATATCACAATTTCTTACTAGACCCATTTGAAATCTATTCACACTTCCCGCTGGTTTCCTTATCCCTCCCACTGTGCCGGGAGTTTCGATCCAAGGCTGCGGTTTACTCCGCAATCCTCTTCTCGTTGCCTATCCGAGCATCCTTTTGCTTCGTAGGATCCTTCCCTTATCCGCTTGTTTTAGTGATTTTACCCCATCGTTGCCACCGTATCCGTGCTACTCAAGGCGTTGTTCTACACTCTGCCTAGAGCCTTTGATAGCACATGTGCACCAGCCTTACTGAGCAAGCCCCTAAAGTCTGGATTCGCATTTGGCATGACAACCTAACTTGACGATGCAGTTTCTCTTATTGCTGCGCTGCCTGTGCACCTGTGGTCAAGCCTTTACTCTATGGACAACGTCTAGGAGCAAACTAGTCTACTAATAACCAACTAAAAATAGCCATTACCGTTTTTCACTCTTCTATGACATTCTATTGTGTGCCAACCCTCAAATGTGATGATTCTACTTAATTTGAATAGGTTCATTGTAGACGTCTTCTTTTGGCTTCCGTATCTTCTGTATCTCTGCTCTCCTTGTTATTTCTTTTCCTAAAATTAAAAGTTTTGTATTATATTCGTATAAGAGTAGGGTTTCGAGAACAACTTTTGGGAAAGCATGGCTATGTTAAGGTCATATCATTGTGGGAAATTCTACTACCAGTCCTTCATCACCTTACACGAAATAGGATGAATACATCTCA